TTTATTACATTTCCAAGGATGAACCTTGAGTACCCCAACATTTTACTTATCACATCTGTACGAGTTTTTATTTATTCCAGAACTGGTGTTTGGAGTAAAGCTTTAAGAAAACTTCTATTCTGAGAAGGGTAGCATGTACAAATATGGTTATTTCCTAACTTAGAATCTAAGTTCGTTACGTAGTCCTGTTCTCCAGGGATACAGCGATAGGTCTCTAAGCCATGAAATCCCCTGGGTGCTCTCAGCCAAAGGGTGGGCAACTTCTGCTGTTGTAGGCTTGCTCCTACAAAGTTCTGAGAGCCAACAGCTCCTTTAGCACTAGCACCAGTTTGTTTGGGATTAACTCCATTTTGGTTGGAGTGGGCTCATTATAGTCAGAAGCAGTCACATCTTACTCTTTACTCTCCAGAGGCATTAATACAGCTCGAGGCGACATGAAAGTGTTCTTTGCTTTTTTCTGATAGACATCAGGTCATTTCCTTGAAATATAGAATTCTTTCTTGAAGTAGCTGCTGGTATTCCTGAATATGTTAAAATACCTGGAGTTGATGAAGAACCTCTCTGCCATAATATCCATGAGAGGATGTGATGAATGTTGCTCAGAATCTACAAATCCCTTATAGCAGAGTGTCCTCAAAGACATTGATCTGCTTTAATTGGGTTCAAGAGGCCAGAGTAGCTGGGGAGCAGGTACTGTCTTGAGTAAAAGTTCCGAATCCTGCTGGCCAGACAGACTCTGAAACTGAAGAGTAGCTTGCTCATTATAGAGACTCTCATAAGCTATTTAGTGGAAGAGCAAATTAAGCGGCATCTTTAAAGAGAAGTCTTTACACACACTCAGGCACACTGTTTAGTAGTCGGTTCTGCTGCCGTGCATTCTAAATACAAATATCAGTATAGTTTCAAAGAATAATTAGAAAGAAAAAAATTAAAAGGCTTGAATAATCCTGGATAAAGCAATCTGGATTTCAGTTAAGTTCTAAACATCACAGTGGCTGCTATTGTACAAGAAGAATCTTCACTTCTTTTTTTGGCGTGTTTGAGAAAATAACTGAGCTGCTGCCGTTAGCCAAAACCTGTTCCCCCAAATGTTTCATTCTGCTTTTTGTGATTATTTTTAATCTGTGTTCTTTAAGCTGCATTATCATATGTGAATTCTGGCTGCATATTTTTTAAAATAACTTATTTGCAACTGTCAGAGATACCTTATGAATAAGTTATCAACCATCCCTAAGAGCTGTAGCTGCAAACATTAAAAAAAAAAAAAGTGATATTTATAATTCTGTGAACATTTTGTATTAATGTATTTATCAAATGAATGCATTCACTTAGGGTTAGGAAAACAGGCTCCTTTCTGTTAAAAACAACACTGCGTTACTTGTATTTTCTTTAATGCTAATACATCAGTGGCAGCTTTCTAACTGATTTAAATGATCTTTTATGAAAAGTTCAATTTAAATAAATTGTTTTTATCCTAAGAGATCTCAAGGCTCTCGAGGACCATTCCCCCAAACCAACCACTCAGACATTTAATAATGCGTTGTAAATTGCCAGCATAATGACAGAAAGCACCAGGGAGAGTGGAACTGGAAATTTTCAGTTTTCCTTAGAGAGCAGCAGAATTTAGTAGAATAGTAAAAGGAAAATCCTCTCACTTAAAGTGACACTAGATAGTCTGGACAGCAAGCTTTAAAGAGTCCGGTGCTGTCTTTCATTACAGGATTGTCATATTTTGAGGAATGATGAGCCAAATGACTGTGTGTCACTGCTGTGTGGCAAAAAGCGTGTAGGTGCTAAGCAGGTAGCTCCACCAAAATGCTTTTCTTGTGTTTTATCCCAGTGCACTCATAGCCTTACTGGGTGCACTGGCGCAAATAATAAAGATAGTACATGGGTACTTCCCTACAAGTTCATGTATGATGTTTAGAACTGTGAGGAGTAATGGTGATAACTGATTAGCTATATAGGGCAGGCGTGTACTGCAGTAAAGAGAGTTCTGTATAGGCAGTGAATCTTATTTTGCTAACTGTTAAAGAAACGCTTGGAGCCAGCAGAATAGCACTCGCTTACCAAAGCAACCCACCTTGCAACATAATGGTCCTTACTGAAAAGCTGAAGCCCAAATGACTTTGTTGTTGCAAAGAGCCAGCCTAGGTAAATGGAAGCTGGTGATATGTGAATGATCATTATGCTGTGTCAAGTCTCATTTTAAAGACCATAAGTATACCTGTTTGAAAGAAAAACAAACTACTTCACCAGTCTAGAGAGAAACATAAATCACGTATTTTTATCATCTCAAAAGACCACTAGAAGATGAGTTCTAATATTTCAAGTGCGACAAGCAATCTATACATATGAATCACAATTTGAGTTCCATTACAACTGAGCTGATACATACCACTCTGTGCTTTATGGATTTTACTCTAACAATATTAAGTAAAAACGCAAAGCTTTTTGTGATGAATACCTAACCTTTTACAAGAATTTGTAGAATTGTGGTCCAGAACAACAGCTTTAGCACTGCCCTACAGGCTTTAACAAGAAAATACTATTGGCAGGTTTGACCTCTCAGTATTATTTTCTGTAAAGGAAAAGTGTGTATTAGTAGAAGGTTAATACTGTAAAGGTAAAAGAAAATGTGAAATAGTGAAAGAGTTTATGGAAAATGCGCCAAGAAATATTGAGAAGAGAGTTAAATAAATGAGCTAAGTTTGAATAGAGGGATCTTTTGTTCCTTCTGCTTCCTGTGTTAGGCCCAGTCTTTTTCTTCCTGGACTCAAGGACTTCTGCAGCAGCCCAGTGGCAGTTGTTCTCAATTCCCCTATTCACAGTCAAGTCATCATTTGAAGTCCTTGGTCTCCTTTTGAGAAATTCTCCAACAGTGATATTTTCATATAGATTGTGAATTTTCTTTTTATCTCTGGGTATTCTTGTATTTGGTGTTACAGTAATGTGGGCCTTGCTTGCAGAATCAAAGTTCAAATTCCTTTACCTCTGAGACTTTTAATCTTCTCGCTTCCCTTTGGGGAAGAAAGAGGAGGAGTATTGTCCAGTGAATTCAGCAAGGAAGCTGGAGCTAGAGGGTATGGCGTAAGGTTAATTTTCAGGTGAATTGGTTGCTGTTTTGACATTCTTGCTTTCTTTTCAGACATCTTTTTGTTCCTCTCCCTTTTATGCTCAAAAATTATTAGATATGCAAGAAAAAACTCCTCAAAGCTATGCTCCAAAAGCCTATTAAAAAGAGGCTGCAAGCAGAACAGTGTGAACAGACGTCAACACCTGAGTGTTTCCCAAGTGGCTCTAGCACTTGGTGGTATGATAACAAGACATGTGGGAGGATTTTTCTTGGCTTTTATCTTCCGTATATTGATGCTCCCGACTTTTAAAAATTCATTTTATCAAGTGGCACTGCAACAGAAACAACAGAAATGTGGAAATGAGATAGTTCAAGGTGTTTGCAGGGGTATACAAAGTCTTTTGCCTCCAGGCCATAATTTCTAATTCAACCCAAGTTGTCAGCAATCAGAGATCGCTGCCAACTGACAGCTGTTTGGTGGCCAACACAAAGTGGTTTAGCAAGTAGTTCCTACTAGACAGATGTCTGTAGTATAGGAAGTGTGAGTATAGCTGGCATGTGTTTCATTTTCAGACTGGAAAACGGGGGTGTATCGACTGCAGCTGCTTTGGTTTAGAGGTTAAACAGGATACCTGAATTTAGGCGAGCAAGAACCCAGTATGTGCACAAATTCCCCCCCTTCTGGAGTTAAATCCTGCCGTTATGGTACTAGCCCCTAACACTGCCTTTGTGGCTGCGTGAGCGCTGTGTGGTGAGGGAGAAGGGAGCCTGTAGCTGGGTCTCTACAGGGAGCTGTGTGGAGCGATGGGGTACGAGACCACGCTGTGGGGTGACCACCCGCTGAGGAAGTTCTTCAGTCGTGTTTTCAATGAATACCTTTCTGCAGTGTGAGCAATCAACAACAAGGAGAAAGGTGTGTGTGTGGGGGGGAATGTGTCTGATTCATCTTTCTTTGTGTGGACATATGTAACACTAGAATTAATCTTTTGAAAGCCATGAATTACTGTATGTAAAATCTGTGCTACTAAGCAGAAAACCGCTCCTGCTGAGAAAAAAATAAAGAGAATTCTTCTGTATAATATCTGGTTTTGTGGGGGAGTAAGGAGGAAGACTTTGAGGTTTACAATATCCCAGAGCTCTGGGATATTTAAACAGGCAAGTAAATGATAGGTTTGATTCACTATTGTGACAACAGTTTTGAATTTTGGATTTGCAGCAGCAGTTGAGCTTGCTCAAGCAAACAGAGATAATGGGTCAAGTTGCTACCACTCCTTCCCATTGGGATGATGGCAGGCTGACAATGGGCTTAGGTGGCTGGCTCAATCTTCTGCTTGTGTGGGATGTGGAAGTAACAGAGCGATGGTCAGTAACTCCTGCAGCAGAAGTGTGTTTGAGGGATAGGGTGTCAGAGCACTTGGGTGGATCTGGAGGGCTGGAATACTTGCTGATCAACTCCGCAGTTGAGTCTGCTACGTTGCCCTGACAAACATTGCCATGCCGTGTCTTTCCAGCACTGCAACTCATAATGCTGTACAGTTACTGTGCCTTCATGCTTTAGTTTACTGATGAGACAGAGTTAGGATTTTCAGTGTTGCTTACTTCTGATGCTGTTTTGTGTGTTTGAAAAATCAGCATTAGTTTTTGTCTTTTAATGTTATCATAGGAAAAAAGCAAAATGCCTTACTTATCCAGAGTTAAAAAAATGCGGGATTTAATGAAGAACAGTGGAAGGGAACCCATTACTGTGATACAGGAGATTTACCTCTATTTTAGGGTATACTTTTCTACTATATTGGCCTTGTTCTTTAATGCTAGAGTTAAACCAGTTTGCCTTTGGAGTTGTAAATGGAAATTATTTTCTCTTATTCTAATATTGTGTCATTTTATTCATTTCAGTGAGCCTGACTGTGACTTTCCTCTGCAGATATTGATGAGTGCGCTGCCAAGATGCATTATTGTCACGCCAATACTGTGTGCGTTAACCTGCCTGGATCCTATCGTTGTGACTGTGTCATGGGATATGTCCGTGTGGATGATTTCTCCTGTACAGGTAAGCTCTTAGGTATGCAGCCATAATAGTGTTATGCTCTGTGTTATGTGTCTTGCTTAGCTTCTAATTAGTCCCTGTGCCAAGCCAAATGCCAGCTGGCCTTCTGCTGGCATAAAATGTAGGCACAAGTGAGATAGGTAAATGTAATGTTCACAGACCTCCTTTTACCTTTGGCTTCTCTAAGCAATGAGTCACTGAAATAATTGTGTTACTTGCAAAAAGCAAGCCCTTATCTACAGCAGAAACAGGAAGCATTTTCAAAATGGATCAGTGTTTTAATTCTGTGAAAAATATTATATTGAAGTTTATTGTTTAGAAGAAGTCCTAGAATTTAAATGTTAATCTGCAGTTTATATGCTAATCCGAATTACAATATGGGTAGAGAAGAGGAAGTAAGAAAACCTCATGATTTTGACAGGTTATCCCATAAGCCCTTCACTTCTGTCCCATGTGGTTTCTGGAGTAGCATACAGTTTTGAATCTAACGCACCTTTCAGATCAAGTCCTTCTGCAGAGTGTTGTTGGAAAAGCTGTGCCTAAAGCATAGAAAAAATGCAGTGTTCTAAGAAATCTCTATTTCAAGGGAAAAAGAACCCAGCAGCCCCCTTCTGCTCTTCCCTTCCCCTCCCCTATCTGTGAAAGGCAACTCAACTGCAGAAATTTCCTGCTATGGTTAGAACAAACGTTCAAATTGTTTGCTATCACTAAAATTGATGCCTTTAGATTTTTGCTCCTGGAGTTTACCTGTCAGGTTCAAGGTGGTGTAGTTGACCCCATAATAATTCTAATAATGCAGCAGGTTTCACAACGGTGAAGTGGCAATCTCAAAGGGCAGGTTATTGGCCTCTCATCCAGAACCACTGTGTGTATTTGAAAAAAGACCTGAATAGAAGCTTTTAGGCAGCCAATTGCTAATACAGTCAGTCTTTGAAAGACAGTGCTATTTCTGCAATCTAATCTACTCTCTTTTCCTCCTTTTCCTTTTTGGTGAACTAAATTAACATTCAAGAAAGAAACATTGATATTTTTGCTGTGGCACTTGAACTTTCAAAGTACTGTGCAGGGTCTTGGATGTTCACAGAGGTCAGTAAACAAATGTTGCCGCCATTCCCGTGATGGCCTGCAGTTTGTGAATTGCTAAGACGTGTCTGCTGGCTAAAAACCCAAATCTGGGTCAGTAGGCAGTGAAGGTAGGTTTGTGGTGGAATAGTTTTCAGATTTTGGGGAAGAGCCCTCTTTAGATCTTCCTGTCCTAAAGGATATCATTAGTGAGTATCTTGCCTAGCACTGCATAGTTTTTAAAGGAACATTATGAAATTATTAATTGGGTTATGTGTCACCATTTATTATGTAGCAGATGTTCAGCACAACAGGTATGGCTGGGGATAAAGACCTCAGGCAGATCTAAACCCTCCTGATTTTACTTGGCACTGATACATTGATATACACTGCTTCGGAGTCCACTCTGTCCTCTACATGCTGAGGACAGCCCATTGTCCTACGAGCTGCGTCTTGGTTTGTGTGCTTGTCTTCTCACTGCACTGTGTCTTCAGGGCAAGAGTTGGGCGTTGGTCCTAAGCCAACCTGAGTGGATGACACTGTGACTGTATTAACTCAGCAGGCTCTAAATACTCTTATGCTGGTCTCTCCTTTCCTGAGGTCTGTACGTGTGAAGTGCTAAAAGGCAGGACAAGACCTAGCTCCTGGTGTCAAGCAATACTCTTTGGTTTGAACTGCAGAAAACAGCATCCAAGTTCCTAGAACAGTGAAGGGAAATGTTGTTTAGTTCCAGGTGCCTTGAAATGCAGAAACACTTGAAACAAAGTCCCTCAGTGGGCTGTTGGGCAAGTTCAGCAGCAGGTAATTTATGTACCAGTGGGTATTGCCTGCAGCACAGAGCATTTCTTTGCTCTGCAGGACCAGTCAACAGAAGACTGGAAGAGTATCGAGTCAATCCAGCAAAAACCGGAGTGATTCCATATCGATGACTGATACTCAACGCAGGTCTTGTCTCAAAAACCATGAACTCAGTAGAAAGCTTTCAGTTGCATTTGTTTTGGCTGTAGAGAAGTCCCAGAGAGAGATAACTAGTGCACTCCTGCTGTAGGAGTTTATAATAATACGTTCGTAATAGTACCAAAAATGATGACTCTTTCGTACTGTGAGAATGCTGCGCTAACGTGGGTAAGGCAGCTTCTCAATGCTCCCTGGAAGGCTGGTGAGTATTTAATTGCTGTTTTGGAAGAGGGGAAGCTGAGGCACAGAGAGTTGGAGCATCTTGCTCAAATTCACGCTGAGACAATGGTAATATTGGAGGGAAAATTAGACAAGGGAAAAACAGAGACTTACACCAAAAAGGATTCAGTGAAGAGTGAGGTTAATTTTTCTAAGTGTTGATAATGATAGCAGTCCATTGAAACACAGTGTTCCTAGGCCCTGAGTAACCACCTGACCTTCATGTCGTAAATCTTCTCCTTCCTCTTTCCATGCACTTTTGTAACATCTTTTGTTACTTTGGAGTTGAATTATTCCCCAGTCCTCTAATTTTAAATGCCGTGTTACATTCTTTTGTTCCTGACTTCACCTTCATTTACTGGGTTTAACTGCAGCAATTTTTACATTCCTTCCTTTAAAAAAATGCCGGGGGGGAAACTGCATATTATTTGCTCTTAAGTGCTTTCAATCTGAGAAAAAAAATGTACTAAAAATGTAATATTTATAGTGATTTAAATTCCTGACTGGTAAATAGTTTAATTAAACATCTTTGTGCTTTCCTGTGCTCTAGGCATGGAAGTGTTGCTAATTTGTCCAGAGTAGTTGGTAATCCTTTCAACTCCTTTTGACACATTGATTTTCTGCAACTTTATTAATACTAAAATTAATTAAACAGCTGACTGCAAATCATGCTGATAGTTGTATTTCTTGACTTAAGCATAATTAGCATTTTTACATTATTTCTTAGCTGCAGCCTTTTGTTCTGGTATATATGCTATCATAAAAATTTAGTATTTCAAATTGTTTTGCATATGCATGTTCATGTTTATGCATAAACTTAAGCACTAAGCTCATGCTTAAAAATAATAATATTGACTTTAATACTTATTCAAGACCTATGAATGAAGCTGTTTGTCTAAACAACACGCAGGGGCAAGCTTTTCAACATTGTCTGGTCAGTATTTGCCCTGAGCTCTCTTATGGCAGGATTTCTCCTTGATACAATAGGACTAAATCCATTTCTATGGCCCACAAATTCTTGATTTCTTTTGTAAATCCAGCAATTACTACAAACAGTCCATGAGGTGAGAGGTGGAATGAGAGCCACCACACTAATTTCTTAGTGAGAACATGCTATCTGTAAAGCATGCAGTGGCTGCAGGATCGATGTCAGTGGCTGGAAGCGAAAAGCTCTCATGTTTTAGTCATCTGCTTCCACAGTAAGTGTTCATGCCTTCAGGAGGGTAACTTGG